AAACAGCTCTTCCCCAGTAACCAGTATTAGTTTGGTGGTGGTAGCGGCCAGTCCAAGGATAACGGGTGTAATATTTTGTACCTTGGGGAAGTTTTGACCTAAGCTGGTAAAGATAAGCTTAGGAGGTTTTTCATGCAGGTCCCCACATCTGTACCCTAGAGTTCAGAGTGGGGGAGGAACCTTGACATGGTGGCAGCGAGGTTACCTTTAGCTTCTTAACCCTTTACAGGTGAGAGGAGCTTTCCCCTGGCCAGGAGGGATTTCAAAGGTAAATTTACCCTTCCCTTTATATTTATGACAGATGCGCTGAGACCACTGCATGCGTCACCGAGCAAACGGGAAGGGGACTTTCAAAATTCCAAAGGAACGTATGGGGTGGGGATGATGGTTGGTCACCTAAGGGCAGGGCAATATTGTTCAAACTGATGACCAGAGAGGCGAGAACAGGCATTGTGGGACACCTCCTGGAGGCCAATTACAGCATTGTAATCAACCACGGTGTCTACACTGGCACAGCAGCGCTGTAGCCCCGGAGCAGAAAGCTCTATGCCTCACGTTGGGGTGGTTTTTTTTTTACAGCACTGCAACAGTGCAGTTTCTGCACACTAAGTGGCTTGGCAGTGTGTACACCTTGGGAATTACAAGGGGGGGGGGGAATGTGTTGATGAGGAGCACAAGGCTCAGGACTTAGGGGCAGGGATCGTGCCACCTTCTAGGTTTGGAAAGTGATTAGAACACTATTATTGAAACAATAAATTCTGCCAGAAAAAATAATCATAATAAAAAATTCTGGTTAGAACCTCAATCTGGGGTAATTTAGGAGTTACATTCCTGGCCCAACATGCAGGCTCTTTCCTCACTAATGCAACTTCGCTCTTGCGTCATACCAAATATATATAGCCTAAATAATATAGTGGCATTGTCCAGGGAAGCTCTCTCTCCACTGATGCATCTGTTTCCATCTCTAAGGACTTGTCTACACTACAGAAATTTGAGGTGCTACCCGCTGTGCTGTCAAATTATTCATATACTTAAAGTTAAGTACATACAGTAGAACCCCGTTTATCCGAGCCTCCATTATTCAGCTCTCCCTATTAACCGAACCACCAGTGCACGCACAGGAATGTGAGAAACTGACGCTTCAGACCCAGGCAACGGGCTGTCAACCCGTTCTCCTGATTATCCAGATTTTTGATTAGGTGATCTGGCCCTGGTCCCAATTAGATTGGATAAACAGGGTTCCACTGCACTTAAGGGCTTTGCTGGATCAGGAGCTAAAATAGCATGAAATCCCATTCTATTTTTCTGTATTGTGTATAAATTCTAACAATATGTCCTTACATTTCTAGTCCAAGAAGAAAGTGACCCCCCCGAACGGACTCAGGCTGGATATACCTCTTTGGGGACTGCAAACTGGTAGTCACTATTGAAAGGCAGGACAAGAATCTTGAAAAACTCAGGGAAAGGCACAAAGGGGCACTGGCCTTAAATCGCTGGACATTCCCCTTGCATAGAGGAATACCATGATTTGTGGGGGAGAAAAGGGTGTGGTTAAAGCATGCTATGCACCAAGGCTCTGGGCAATTGCAAGCAGATCCTACTGGCACCAAGACCAGAAATGTAAAAAAAGGGCACCTTATCCCTTCCCTACACACATGTAAAGCTAGACTAGAATCAAGGATCTGGGCTAGTATCTTTAAAGAATCATACTTTAAAAAAAAAACATTTAATATGCATTGCCTCTAGGTGATGCTAATATGTGTCTTTTTGAACTATCACTGGTTTCAGAATTCAGAGTAACAGCCGTGTTAGTCTGTATTCGCAAAAAGAAAAGGAGTACTTGTGGCACCTTAGAGACTAACCAATTTATTTGAGCATGAGCTTTCGTGAGCTACAGCTCACTTCATCAGATGCATACCGTGGAAACTGCAGCAGACTTTATATACACACAGAGAATATGAAACAATACCTCCTCCCACCCCACTGTCCTGCTGGTAATAGCTTATCTAAAGTGATCATCAAGTTGGGCCATTTCCAGCACAAATCCAGGTTTTCTCACCCTCCACCCCCCCCCCCCGCAACAAATTCACTCTCCTGCTGGTGATAGCCCATCCAAAGTGACAACTCTCTACACAATGTGCATGATAATCAAGTTGGGCCATTTCCTGCACAAATCCAGGTTCTCTCACCCCCTCAACCCCTCCCAAAAACCACACACACAAACTCACTATCCTGCTGGTAATAGCTCATCCAAAGTGACCACTCTCCCTACAATGTGCATGATAATCAAGGTGGGCCATTTAGCAGCCATGTTAGTCTGTATCAGTAACAAGAACAGGAGGACTTGTGGCACCTTAGAGACTAAACATATTTATTAGCGCATAAGCTTTCATGAGCTACAGCTCACTTCATCGGATGCACTATCAATGATTCTTAGGAAGGTATAAAAGTAAGTTCTGTATTCAATGTATGCTGGGAACCACTGATATTAAATATTTTATTTTTCTAAAAATCCAATATACCCACACAAATACACTCGCCTGTTCATTTTAAAATGCTCTGATAATTAACCTTCTTGACAATCCTTTTTTCCTATTTTGAGTGTTTATAATGAAGCTCAAAACTCAACTAATGAACTAAGTTATGCAATATTGTAACATGAAGGGAAAGTACTCTCTTTGTTAATAAGCCTATTTTGACTGATTTTTATCCACCATTGATCAGATGCTTTAATTGACCCATACACAATATCCACATATTTTCCCTCAGAAGTTACAATTAATTCAGAACCCATCAGTGTATACACAATTTTTAAATTGTTCCTTCCGATGCGTACTGTTATGCACTGGACTATGTAAAGCATAATCTGAGATTTTATCTGCTTCTACAAAAACAACGAGGAGTTCGGTGGTACCTTAAAGACTAACGGATTTATTTGGGCATAAGCTTTTGTGAGTAAAAAATCCACTTCTTCAGATGCATGGAATGAAAATTACAGATACAGGCATTAATATACTGGCATATGAAGAGAAGGGAGTTACCTTACAAGTGGAGAACCAGTGTTGACAAGGCTAATTCAGTCAGGGCAGATGTGGATAACTGATCTGATCTGAACCAATAACTGATGAGGAGGTGTCAATACCAAGACACCTCCTCATCAGTTGGCAGCCGGTATCAAGTGGAGTGCCCCAAGGGTCGGTCCTGGGGCCGGTTTTGTTCAATATCTTCATAAATGATCTGGAGGATGGTGTGGATTGCACTCTCAGCAAATTTGCGGATGATACTAAACTGGGAGGAGTGGTAGATACGCTGGAGGGGAGGGATAGGATACAGAAGGACCTAGACAAATTGGAGGATTGGGCCAAAAGAAATCTGATGAGGTTCAATAAGGATAAGTGCAGGGTCCTGCACTTAGGACAGAAGAACCCAATGCACAGCTACAGACTAGGGACCAAATGGCTAGGCAGCAGTTCTGCGGAAAAGGACCTAGGGGTGACAGTGGACGAGAAGCTGGATATGAGTCAGCAGTGTGCCCTTGTTGCCAAGAAGGCCAATGGCATTTTGGGATGTATAAGTAGGGGCATAGCGAGCAGATCGAGGGACGTGATCGTTCCCCTCTATTCGACATTGGTGAGGCCTCATCTGGAGTACTGTGTCCAGTTTTGGGCCCCACACTACAAGAAGGATGTGGACAAATTGGAGAGAGTCCAGCGAAGGGCAACAAAAATGATTAGGGGTCTGGAACACTTGACTTATGAGGAGAGGCTGAGGGAGCTGGGATTGTTTAGCCTGCAGAAGAGAAGAATAAGGGGGGATTTGATAGCTGCTTTCAACTACCTCAAAGGGGGTTCCAAAGAGGATGGCTCTAGACTGTTCTCAATGGTAGCAGATGACAGAACGAGGAGTAATGGTCTCAAGTTGCAGTGGGGGAGGTTTAGATTGGATATTAGGAAAAACTTTTTCACTAAGAGGGTGGTGAAACACTGGAATGCGTTACCTAGGGAGGTGGTGGAATCTCCTTCCTTAGAGGTTTTTAAGGTCAGGCTTGACAAAGCCCTGGCTGGGATGATTTAACTGGGAATTGGTCCTGCTTCGAGCAGGGGGTTGGACTAGATGACCTTCTGGGGTCCCTTCCAACCCTGATATTCTATGATTCTAAGAGAGGGAAAATTGCTTTTGGAGCAAGCCAGCCACTCCCCGTCCCTATTCAAGCCCAAATTAATGGTGTTAAATTTGCAAATGAAGTGTAGCTCTGCAGTTTCTCTTTGAAGTCTGTTTTTTTGTTGAAGGATGGCTACTTTTAAATGTTATTATACAGGCTAACACGGCTAGCCCTCCGATATCTGCTTCCAGTCATCCTCCTGGTCTGATGAGCCAGCAATTTTTAACATCTCTAGTTCCTAAGGCACCATGCTACTAACCTCTTTTGCTGAGAACTGACCATTTATTCATATTCTTGACCAAGATTTTTCTGAGTTTTTTTCCCCAACCAGATTTCCACTCTTCTAAATTTTCTTAAATATCTCTTCTGTGAAAGACTATAAATAGCCTTTGGAAAGTCAGAGTAAATCATCTATATCAGCCAATTCTCCTTATTCTCAAATATTTCATTAATGAGGTCAAAGATGTCTAACAGTTTAAAGAGACATATCTCCTTTCAGAAACCATGCTCTTTTGTCATTATATTATAGGCATATCTATATACTTCTAAACTGTTTTTCTGGTGCTGAAATAAGATTTACAGGTCCACAATCTGTCAGGGACTGCCTCAGAAGAGAACTTTTTTCCTAAGAAGCTACCAATATAGAAGTCTTTATAAGGCAGTTGCTGAGGTAAAGACGACTTGGATCTTGTTTTTCTTGAGGGCTTTTGCACAATCTCTACACAGACTTACAGGAAAAGAGAAGCACTGGAAAGTTTGTTTTATTGTGAACCTCAGCTATTGAGAATGATTGGCGTGAACAAGATAGGGAAATAAAAAATTAGATCCAGAAAAGAAAGAAAATCAACTGTTTTTATTGCTGCTAACACCACACTGATGTTACTTCATTTTGAATTTCTTTTATAGGTCACAACCAATTATTCTCTCATTTCAGGTTTATTATGGATCTTGGACATCCTGGCTTCATTTACACTGAAATGCAGATATATTTTTATTTATGATCTACTACCGCAACTCTCTGGTCCACCTGAATCTGACTTGGATGTAAGATCTAGATAATAGCTGTTTTTTCTGGATATTAAAATACTGGAAATGTAACCGGGGGGGATTACAGGCATTTTTGAAAATTCTATACATTAGCCTCTATTTTTCTCTACTTTTCTATCATTTTCACAAGTTGACCACCATTTCCCTAATCTCTTGAATTACTTCTTCAATGTCTTACTTCCTATTTCCACTTCTCACTCCTTTTACTTTGGTCAGTGTCCCACAGGGTTCCATCTTGGGGCCCTCCTGTCTTTCTACATCTTATCCCTGAGTGGCCTCATCCACTTTTCTGTCTTCAGTTATCTCTGTGCTGACCTCTTCCCCTCTGTTCAATCGAGGGTGACGAGATGTCCCGATTTTATAGGGACCGTCCCGATATTTGGGACTTTTTCTTATATAGGTGCCTATTACCCCCACCCCCTGTCCCAATTTTTCACACTTTCTATCTGGTCACCCTAGTTCAATCTCACATTACTTAAGCTCAAGCTTAAACCCTTGTCTATCCAAAATCTGTCTGCCACCCCAGTCACAGCAGTCCTCCTTTACAAGACCCTTTACTGCTGCACATCTCCTTAAACATCAGTTTCCAATACTTTGTCCTCATTTTCCAGGCCCCAGATAGTCCTACTTGTGCATCCATCTTATTTCGGGGTGCCTGTCATTCTATTTTGATCCTATACTCAGCCAGTTCCCTCCCTATAATCCCTTTCCCTCCCAATGCTCAGAATGACCTCTCTGGACCTATAAACCTCCTTCTCCTCCTCAAGTTACATTTTCTCAGTCATTTACACCATGAGCCTTTTACTGTAAACTATATGTAGTTTATAAAATTAACTGTTCTTCTGGAGGTTATCTTTTTAGAGTGGAAACTTTTCAGGAGGCAGATGTCTTTTTTCATATTTTTAAAACATTGACCAAGGAACTATTAAAACAATAGCCTTGGACTACTCCTGAGAGGATTAACTGATCTGTAATAGCGAGTTCAGGAAATCTGAAATCCTTCCATCTAGTGGCATTTCCTGGAACAGACAAGAGTTTCAAATCAGACGTCACCTTTTGAAAGTTTGGAGTGTTCTGCAAAGAGTCTCTTTTTGAAACTTTCCCTTCTCTAAACCAGACCTTTTATCAGATGGGATGTGTCATAATAATCAGGCCTATGCATTTATCCCACTTGTGAGATTAACAGTGGGAAACTAGATAGAAGTTTACAAAGTGTTTCAATAACCTATTAAAACAATAATTGTTGGTGGGAAAAGGTGCAAGAGAGACTAATTTAAATAAGATGACTACTGATGTAACTCAAGAACTGCATTAAGCTCATGCCTGGTAAACAAGAGAAGTGCAAGACTGGAAATCAATGAACCAAAACTGGTGTGTCACTAACTAGACTTATTCGTGGACAAAATAATGAGGGAATGAGCTCATTATTGGAGTTTTTATAAAGAAGACAACTTTTGGTGCAAAAATTAAAAGAAGCTGTCTGCCAGCAACTGCTGCAGTAACCTTCATGGCTGCCTGCCACCCACCCCCTTATGATCCCAGGATCCACTGTGACACCAATGGGCCTTCATCAGCTGGATGGAAAAAGGTGTCCTGAACAGATTGGTCCAAAAAAAGGGACCTACCTGACATCACCATCTCCACTGGCTCTGGCTGAAAGCCAACAACCTGGGATGTGAGTCTGTCACATCTCCCTCCCCTTGTGTATCCTTTTCCTATCCCTCTCCTTTTGCCTTCTGTCTAGTAACAGTCTGGCTTAGCTGGCCAAGACTATATATTTTGCAACAGTGCCATGAGCCTGTAAGTAAAGAGGTAGTTAATAGCAAGGTTCTAAACACACCAATGCTGGTACAAATTTGCCAGGTCTCAGAGTGGCTGATAAAATGGTGCATTGTGCCTTTGTTTCTCCAGAAGTGAGGCTGCACGTCAGAGTCAACAGCAGAGATAGAAGCAGCACTTTCTATCTTTACTGATTTTTTCCTCTCGCCTCTTATACATGTCTGTCTTCTTTTGTCTTCTTGGAAACAGGACTGAACTTTAACAGCAGTAATCACCAGTGCTCCAGCCCATCTCAACTAACTTCTTTGGGAAAAAGAGAAAGAACAGTTAACACCCTCTTTAATACTAAGAGACCATCGGACAGTAGGGTTTCATTCTAAAAACTCTATAGCAAAGGGAAAGGGGAAAAGAGTTATGGTTATAATGAAAGCCTTACTTAACTTGCATTTCAAATGCTTTAACTTTTTTCCTTCTTTTCTGTATCTTTAATAACAGATTACAGAGTTTTAATAGCGTTTGGGCCCTGGTACTACGCTGAGGTCTCTGTATACCAAACCTGAACTTTTTTTAAAACGTTAGTGTTGGACAATAAAAGGGTTATGTAAATAGCTGACTCTGGGCCCATATATTCCAACTACATTAATACAACAGAAGCCAGCCTGAGCCAAATCTCTTTTCATTATCAGAGACAGAGCGCGAATGCACATACGCATGCACAGTTTCTCTCCCCCCTAAAAAATAATCAGCTCTAGTTTTTCCATGACTAGAGCTGTCCAATCTGAAATCCTATTTGAAGGGGGAATGGAGGAACCCAACATAACAAAAGGCCCTCATCGTGAAAGGGGAAAGGGCCACAGAGACAATGAATCAACTAAAGCAGGGGGTAACAAATGATGGCAGTGGGGGTTACAAGTGTAAATCAAGGGAACCAGATAGGGACACTAAGCAGAAAACCCAGCACAACACCAACTGCTCTGCGAAGGAGTTGAGATTTTGGAGGGGTTAAGGTCCCACAAAGCAGCCACTCTCCACCATGTACTCCTAGGCTGCTCCCACAGATTTTCCAAGTGAAGTTATTGCTGACAGTAGCTGCTGTGGAGGGGACTCACAAGAAGTTAATGCTGCATCAAATGTGGCAGGTATTTTGGTTTTGTTCAGCCACTTAGCTAAATGTAACACCTAAAGCAGGTTGAGAGAAAAGAAAGTTAATATTTGGGTGGAGCTAGGAGTAACCAATGTATATAAAAAACCACCAACAATCTTATCAGTCACGTTTTTAAAGTTCAGAAAACAAAGTATACAACTACTTGTTATATGGCCAAACAGCATATGAATATACCAGAACCAGTGCAAGCAACTCCTGGACCTCAGCACCCAAGTACAGCATGCTAAGGCTACTGTTGTTAAACTGGACAAGCAGCAAGTATTTACGGATATATCAAATACAGGTACACTACAGAGCATGGTATATCATGATGGGAAGAGACCAAGGTGGAATGAAGGTACAAATTACCTTTGATGACACCCGCCCTTCAAAGGAGGTCCCTCCAGAAGTCTGAGTCGTAGCAGTAAAAGGGAAGCTGTGGTAATATGGTATAGGTTTTGCTTAGATAACATCCTATAATAAGCTACAGACTGACATGGAACATACTAGAAGGCGCCAGCAGTTTCCCTGTCTATGACACACCAGTGCTGCCAGCTTTCTCATGATTTGGTGCTGCTCTTAAAGGCCCTGCTCCTGGAGTCATGTGATTACACTAAAATCTCAACTTTTATTTTAAAAAAAAATACTGAGTTTCTAGTCCCCGTGGTTGCAGAGGGAAGCTCGGAAATATGAAGCCTAAAGGCTTAGGGTTGGCAGACTTGACCTGAGCTCAGACAGCCAAAAAACTTTAAAAACTTACAAATTCATGACTGTATTTCAGCAGAAGTGCAGATGCAAAAGTAGCATTTCAATCAATCTACAGGCTCTTTTTATTATTTATTTAAAACAGGTGACAGGACAAGGCTGCTATTCCCAGGATTAGAGACTGTTTCTTTGCAGGTGGTAAGAAGGAATTGAGTGGGTTGAATATACTCCATCTTTTCTGCCCCTGAGAGGGGGGTAGCACAAGGATATGCAGGGCATGTGTGTGACCCCAAAGAACACTGCTGGTTAAAAGATTCTGATTTGTTGAGCAAGAGGCACATGCACACCAGGAGTGAGATCCACATTTACAGACGCTTGAAGAACTACCAATATCGGAGGCTGGGTTGCAAGAGACCAGGAAGCTGGAGAAGGGACAGATCACCTGTGGAAAGGCCTGGAAGAACAAGGGAAGGGTAAGGAGCTGAGAACAAGTATTCTTGTACTCCTCATTCTCACAGTTATAGTATATTCTACATATGTGCTTTTGATCCTAGTTAAAAATGGCAAGTATTTAACATTTATTGCAAAATTAACGGAAACTATTTTAAAGACTTAATCAGCAAATATTCTATTTTACAAAATAGTGAATAATTCCTTCTTCACAAGAAGAAACATTTCATGTATTTTCAAGTCAGCTACTTCTACAAGACAGCATGAATCTGATGTTATAGCATACTAACACGCAGGAAAAAAATACAACCACAACCAATACTCATTAAATATTGTACATAACCATTTACAGTTTCAAACAGTCAATGAAAGGAAATTATATCAACTGCCATTTATCTACCTATACATGTATTTCAGTATAAAATGCTCATTTTGAATAAATAATGTTGCAGATGAATGCTGCAGGAGTTCAGTTCTTGAGCAGTTCAATGCACTTTGGTCTTTTGTTAACTTTGTTCCATGCCAGCCATGAGTGACAAAGCTAAAGACTCCACTGTGAATCAAAACAGATAAAAAAATTAAAACATTTTAAACATTCTTGTTTATATCACTCTGCCAAGGTTTACTGAAATTGTCAGTTTTATAGCTTACGAGGCAGATATCTTTTATTATTCAAACGACAAATAACACCTGAGGATTTAAGTCCCTACATCAGGCATTTTCAATGTTATCAATTTCATTATCTGAAATAATGAGGGGTCAATTGAGGAGAGTTAATTTCCTTTCAGATGTTGGTGTAGAACCTTATCCTTAGCAAAAGGTGCAAAACTGAACAAATGTATCTTTATCCTTTATAATGTATCCTTTAAACGTATCCTTTATCCTGTACTGTAAATAAACAGTATTAAAACATCTACACTGACAATAAACCCCACCAGCCAAAAGATCCAACAACACAGGACAAAATTCTGCTTTAATTTACATCAGTGCAAATACAGAGTAAATTCACTTGAAACAGTGGACATAATCTAAGTTCTGCTCTGCTCTCATATTTATGCTCTTGAAATTACAAAAAGTGGCCATGGTTGTATTCTCTGTCACTGTTAGAAGCCAGTATAATTTAAAATAAAGAAATTGGTGTTATTCTTGAACCACTACCCACATCATCGCATGTTTATTCATCCAAAGAAGCACCTGTTACTTAGGAAAATATTTTATTGCTAACTTTAGAAATATTTAGTGGGTGCAACATTTACACTAAAAAAGTCTGAGAGTTGTAGTTAAAGGTCTGTGACACTGCTGCACAGAGACGATGTTCTCGCTATCAGTTGAAGGGTTTAAGAATAGTGAGGTTCTACCAATGTTTGTGACATGTTAAAATTGTCAGGGACAATATAAAATGGAACTTTTGACTCCTAACGTATGTAACCATTAAAATGTAAATTACTCAGGCAGGCACTGCCTTCATTTGCCTGTTAAGCACCATACAAGATGATAATGATACATAAAACATAACAAACCACCACTAAAAACTATTGAATTGTTAAAATAGAGCATGGCATCTTATGGCATCCATTTTAGGCTGTCCATTACGATGTCATAAAACAATAAAATAGGTATCAGTTCTGCTTGGCCTATACCAGGCAATACAAAATCTGAATCAAGTACAACAATATGCAATCTATGTTTAACAGTGATTAGCTCTGACTGCAAATCATCTTTTGGTCATGAATTCAACATCAGCCATCTTAAGAGATGTGTAGTCAAATAACTGATCACCAAATACTTTATTTTAAGTGGCATGTGAATTCCTTTGGCAAAGTTAGGATTTATGATATATGCCAATCATCATTTGCATGTCCCTCCTTAGGGCATTAGGCAAAATGAAGGAAGTTTTGCTGTTCATAAACAAAGTGAGGCACAAATGCTCTAAAAATTTTGTTAAATTGTTGTATTAAAAGGGAATAGAAAATGCTTTGCCAATCTCTCTCTATGTTCTTGCACACAATAAAATTCAATTTAAAACATACTAAACATTAAAACAGCCTCACTCCTACAAACCCAGAAAAGCCTACTTTCTGAAAGAAGCTTATAAATTAGAAGTGTCAATAAAGGAAAAGCCTATTATTTTAAAATTGTTCTGTATACTCACAATGAGGAAAAGAGCCTCTACAGACTGCTTTGTTTAGAACTGTTACGAGAAACATGTGACAATTTTTAAAATCTGATTCCATCTTCTCTATGGATTCCATCCTAAGAAAGAAGTGCAGTTTAATTTAAACAAATATAAAACGGATAAATAACTACATAGATAGTCCTATATAAAATTACATATCCTTTCTTTCTAATAATGAATAAAAATAAGGCGGAGATCATCTTTCAGTTGTGTGTGTACAAAGTGCCTAGCACAAAAGGGCTCCAATCCTTGACTGGGCTTTCTAGGCATTATCACAACACAAAGAATTAATAATGAGCTAACTCTACCCTCTGGTATGCATCTAACAACTCTGAGGAAGAACTACTGATCCTGTGTGGAGTAAATCTACTGTTCTTGTCTCGGAAACCTCTCTTATGTGATGAGCTCTCGAGCTCCACATTGCTTCAAAGCCTAGAGCTAGGGAGCTACCTGATGACTTGCTCCTCTTTTTCCCCTGACATGGGGGATGGGTTCCACAGGCAAAATCAGAAACACTTGCCCAGGAGAGGGATGCCTAGAGCAGGATAACTGACTCAGATAAACAGCAGCACCTAAAACAAACAAACAGTCTTGAAAGTTAGGGGGTGGATTGTGATTTCAATAGGAACAGTTAGGCCAGCACTGATCACTCCTGAAAATCCTGCCTTAGAGAAATTTCTCATCTTGTGCCTAAGAATACGCAGGAGGTATAAAGGAAAAAAAAAAACAATAGAATACAATAATTTTAGATTATCCTCATGTAACGCAAGTACCCTGCTTAGAAGTTTATCAGACTTAATATTTTTGAAACAATGTGAGTCCTGAACTTTCTGGGTGAAACCCTGGCTCCACTGAACTCAAAGGCAAAACTTGCACTGACTTTAACAGAACGAGGATTTCACCTTCTGAGACCTAAGACAAGGTTACTATCACTAGCAGTCTACATCAAAAAGGAAGATTTACCGAGGAGGAAATAACAAAGGAAGTTTAACTTTTCCTTTTTATCAGACCAGAATGAGTCCTTATTGGTTATGCCCACAGTTCTCATAAACCAAGCAAATGAATGTTAGTTTCCAGTGCCTGTGAGTTTAAGCTAAGTCTCAGAAGAAAGATGTAAGTACGAGCATGACCATTGAGCCTTTCATTTTATTAGTTTATAAAAACATATGATGAGGAAAAAAAGTACTTCCATTTGTTGTACACTATAGTCTTACAATTTTTTTTTTTTTAATTTTTTTTTTACTGGCCACCTTTTTCACTGAGAAACACATTCTGATTATACAACCAACAGGTGCCTGCAGCTGATAAGCTTCAGCTCCATTGAATTTTATCCTTGTTAACAAAAGGTCACATTAGTCTCCCATTAAACATGCAAAGCAAAAAGATATATACCTCAAATACAACACTGGAGCTGTGAAATGATCACATTATAAAACATTATGACATATTACTTACCTCCAAGCTCCCAAACCAGCCTGCCAACGATCTGCAAACATCAGCACTAAATTTAGCACTTTCATTATAGCTTCTTTCACAAAACTAACCTAAGATAATAATGGGGAAAAAATACAAGTAGTCTAATCAGGAATTTATTTTTAAATTCAATAAGAACTTTGGCAGGCCATGAGATCACAACACTCCATGACGTTTAAATTAAGATTTCAATTAAAACAACCTTGAGGATACACTCTAATTTCCCAGCTACAATATGTTCTTTGTTTAGTGGATTAACTGTTCAATTAATTCTGAGGTTGACTATTTTGACAATACCGAATGTACCTAGTATTTGGGACAAAGTACTACAGCGCAATTCCATGTACCAAGTGTATCACCTCTAAAGTGCCAAAGTTTCGAACAAATGTTGACATTTAAAACATCTCACAAATTGCAGATGATGCAATATTTGTTGTCCCTATTTATATTTTGTATAAATCAGTGCATCACCCTAGTTGCTTTCCCAGCACTGTAGGAACCTTTAATTCAGATTAACGTAGATGATACAATCTGGCATATTTTATCACTTCATTTAAACCTGAAATTACTATTCAAAATACACTACTGATATTAGCTAAAGCTACTGCAAACAGGTACAGCATATGTTGCCTCTACAACAGCAGTTTTCAACATTTTTTTCATTTGTTCACCCCTAAAAAATTTCAAATGGAGGTGTGGACCCCTTTGGAAATCTTAGACATAGTCTGCAGACCCCTATGGGTCTGCAGGCCACAAGTTGAAAATCACTGCTCTAAAATACAACAATTCAACAATGTGGCAGAACTCTATAATGGGTGGCACCGTCCTTTACCCCCCACTTCAAGCTACCCCAGTAGAAATAATCTTGAATATATTTTTAAACACATCTCAAACAGCTTGTTTGAATCCCCTAAAATTTGGGCAAAACAAAAAACCCCCAATAAATGGTTACTCATCCTGTGTAGTAACTGTGGGTCTTTGAGATGTGTCTCCCTATGGGTGCTCCACTCAAGGTGTACTTACATCCTCTGTGCCTATGACTGGAGATTTCTCATAGCAGTGTCTGTTCAGCCTGCACATGCGTGTTGCTCCCTGCCGTTATATATCAGCACACAGGTAAACCGCCCTTAGTTTCTTCTCTGCTGTGTAGCAGAGAACTCCAAAGCAGAGGGGAAGGACAGCAGATAGTGGAGAACCCATAGGGACCCACATCTTGAAGAATTACAGTTACTGCACAGGTTGAGTGACCATGTCTTCTTCTAGTACTGTCCCTCTGGGTGCTCCACTCTAGGTGACTACTGAGCAGTTCCCTTTAAGGAGGAAGGGCCTTCAGAGCAGAGGCCAGTATTCAAGGAAGTACAGCTGAGCCACATACAGCATCAGAAGCCAAGTCATGAGTTATTGCATGAGTTACTTAGCAAAGGTACGTACAGAGGTTGAAGTCACAGCTCAACTTATTTCACTGATGGGAACATTTTTGCAAAAGGCTGTAGAAGTGGAAACTGATCTTGTAGAGCGAGTTCGTATGCCCGCGTGTGCTTGGAGATTACAAGATTGGTAGCAACAGTTAACGCAATCAGATATTCACTTGGGAAGCCTTTGTTAAGAGACTGCAGACCCTTTTGATGTATCTGATCGAGACAAATAATTTGGGAGTCTTTCTAAACAGTTTAGTCCTGTCAAGATAGAAGGTCGGGGCTCTCCTGACGTCAAGTGTGTGTAACAACATGTCCTCTTTGTCTAGCTGAGGATTAAGGTGGAAGATCGGGAGATGAATGGGTTAGTTAATATGGAACTTGGAAGATACTTTTGGTAAAAACTTGGGGTGTGGTCATAATGTGAACTTGTCTTTGAAAAGTAACGTGAAAGGAGGGTATGCCAGAAGGGCCCCTATATTCCTAACTCTTCGTGCTGATGTGATGGCTACCAGAAATGACGTTTTCAATCGAGAAATGGAGGAGTGAGCAGGTAGTCATTGGTTCAAACAGAGAATCCTGTAAGACATTTAAGAACCAGGTTGAGGTCCCAAACCAGAATAGACTGACTGGTGGAAATAGATTTCCGAGACCCCTCAGGATCCTCATCGTCACTGGCTGGGCGAATACAGAAAAACATTCTACTGAAGAATGGAAAGAAATGGTTACTTATGACAACTGTGGTTCTTTGAGATATGAGAGAGACATGTATTCTACTTAGGTGTGTACACACACAGCACACCAGAGCCAGAGAATTTTGCCTAGCAGTACTCACAGAGGGGTGGCAGTAGCACCTAATGACCAGCCCCTCCCTCTGGCAACATGAAGCAGAGTCTCCCTGACCCCCCACCCCCTCAGTTCCTTTACACAGAATACCCAGAGACTAGACTCCGATACAGGGGATGGAGGGTGGGTCATGGAATACAAATCTGCATCTCATCTCAAAGAACCACAGTTGAAGAAGAAGAAGAAATGGTTACTCACTGTAAGTAAATGCAGCCATGTATTCCACTTAGGTGACTCACAAGCAGTACCCACCCCATGAGGTGGGGCTCAGAGTCTACCTAAACAAGGATTGCAGGACCACCTACCAAAACTTGCATCCGCTCTAGAAGATGCGGTAAAGGCATAATGGTTCATAAATATATGTATGGATGTCCATGTAGCAGCCCTGCAAATCTTCAATTTTGAGATGTCACTGAGGAACACTACTGACATTGCTTGCACTCACAGAATGAGCTTGCACCTGATGAGGAGGCACAGACTAGGCGATTTCATATGCAGTCTCGATACAGGATGCTATCCATTTAGAAATCATCTGTGAAGAGACTACTTTCCCCTTCACATGATTTGCATGTGACAAACAGGCGAGGCAAAGCACAAAACAGTTTAGTCCTGTCCAGACAGAAGGCTAGACATCCCCCGACATCTAATGGATGGAGATGCTGCTCCTCCGGAGATGAACACAACTTAGGAAAGAACACAGACAAATATACCACCTGGTTCAAACAGAACTGAGAAACCACTTTAGTCAAAAATTTGGTGTATGGTTGTAAATTCACTTTGCCCTTAGAGAATTGTATATAAAGGAGACTCTGCCATTAGAGCATGCAACTCTCATTCTCTTCTTGCACATGTTATCTGCTACGAGGAATGCAGTTCTCTGACACAAAAGTGGAAAGGTACAAGATGCCAGTGGCTTGAATGGAGACCCCATTAAAACTGCTAGGACCGCGGTAAGGTCCCAAAGAGGAACGAGCTCTTGGACCAGAGGACAGAGATGAAGAAGCCCTTTTAAGAATTTTGCTACCACAGTAATGGAAAAGACTGATCTTCCCTTCATGGGGGATGAAATGCCGATGTCACTGCCAGATGCACTCTCAATGAGCTAAGTGCAATTCCCAACAACTGAAGGTGTGGCAAGTACTCCAAGATGTTCTGGATGGAAGCCAGTGTTGATTGAATTCCGTGGGCCAACCACCACACCAAAAATCGCTTCCATTTTGCTGAAGAGGCCATTCAGTTAGAGGGTTTTCTACTGTTGACTAGGACCTGTGGAACAGCTGCTGAACACTGCTCTTCCTCCTCATTTAGCCAAGCAGCAGCCATGCCATGAGATGCAGGGAACTGAGTGGGGGATACAAGGTGTGCTCGTGATGCTCTGCAACTAGGTTGGGTTGAAAAGGAAAGAGGTATGAAAGGCTGAATTGACAATGTGAGAAGGCTGGAGAACCAGCATTGCCTTGGCCACACTGCAGCAATGAGAATAACCTGTGGGATGATCAGGATCAGGAGGAAAGTGTACAGGAAAGCAGACTACCAGCTGAGATGGAAACCATTGGATAGGGATCCCGGACTGAGGCTCCCTCTAGAGCAAAACAGATAGACATTTCCTGTTTCCCCATGGCAAACAGGTCAATTGTTGGAATACCCCAAACTCCAAAAATGACCCAGAGGACAATTTGCTTTCAAAGACCACTCATGGTTCAGGGAAAAATTCCTGTTGAGAATAGTCTGTGAGATGATTCTAGATTCTGGGCACATGATTGGCTATCAGAGTGATACTCTCCTCAATGCAGAACTGCCACAACCTGATGGCCTTTTGTTCTCCTCCTTGCCTGTTCACATAATACACTGTGGTGATATTGTTGGTAAATATGTGACTATATCTAATATGGTCCAAAAAAGCGGGATATACATTGTAGATGGTCCAAAACTCCAGCACTTCGATATGCAGTGAGGACTGCAGCTTTGATCGCAGACCTTGAACTTTCAGCAACTCCAGATGGGCTCCCCAGCCCATCTTGGAGGCATCAGAGACAGACCTGGATGGATGAAGGGAGTGCCCTGACAAACGTTCTCCAGGAGCATCCACCCCAGCAAGGAGTCCTGGACCAGTGGAGGGAGATGGACCAATCTCTTCAAGGAGTGAAGAGTCAGATTGTAAACTGTCCTGAGCCACATCTGATGGAGGCAAAGACACAACCTTGCAAACTGGACCACCTGCATGCCAGCAGACATGTAGCCCAAGAGCCTGAGATACATTCAACACATTGGGGAAAGCTGAGATTGCAGACTAAAGAAAAGGTGGTGAATGACTGAAAATGGTCAGTCAGCAGAAATGCTCTCAAACTCGGAGAGTCTATTAGGGCCCCAATGAAGTCTATTTTTTGAGTGGGAACCAAAATTCACATACTAATTTTCCCCTACTGTTACTCACACCTTCTTGTCAACTGTTTGAAATGGGCCACTCTCATTACCACTACAAAAGTGATTTTTCCTCCCTTCGTATTCAATACTGTTAATTGAACTGTCTTGTTAAACTGACCCCCCATTTGGTAAGGCAACTCCCATCTTTTAATGTACTACGTATATACACCTGCTACTGTATTTTCCACTCCATGCATCTGATGAAGTGGGTTCTAGCCCACGAAAGCTTATGCCCAAATGAATTTGTTAGTCTCTAAGATGCCACAAGGACTCCTCATTCTTTTTGCTGATACAGACTAACACGGCTACCACTCTGAAACCTGACTTTTCAGTGTTTAGAATGAAACCCAGACGGTTGAGCAGGCACAATGTAATGTTGACGTCCT